CCTCTTGCTTTCTTTGGGGGGAAGGGTTCCTATTCCTTTAAACTCAACCAACCAAAAAAGGATGCCGATTCTATTTTTTCCCCATGGCTATTGGTCATCTGAGATAGCAAATGGTACCCTCAAAGACAGGGCGAAGCTAGATGGCATAATTTCTCCAGTTTGGTTCTCATCCCTCAACGAGCTTTCCTTCATTTCCCTTTCAACCAGCTGTGGGGGTTGGACACTTTGGGGGGAGTTTCCAACCCAAAATACCTATGGCCGAGGGACGGCCATCTGCCCTTTCTGCCAGGAACGTCATTTGGCAAAGCTTTTGGCCTCCCACAGGACCCGGCAGTTGAGGGCATGTGGTTTCAGCTTGCGGATCCCAAACGGTCCATTCCCAACTTCCCGAAAGTTGTTCTACTGAGAATCAGGAAAAAGGTGGAGGATGGAAAACTTGACCTGCTGGGCACTCGACCGCTGGTGACGAGTGGCCAGTGTGCCAGAGCAATGAGCCATCGGGGTGGGTGGGTGCCGCCTTGGGCCCTGCAGGACTACATCAAAACCCCATCCAAGTCTCACATGTGCACGTAGCGAGACAAAGCGTCCGGCCCTCGGCGCTTTTTGCGCGGTCGTGCACTCCCACGTGTTTCATGGCAAAGCGCAGAGATTTGTTTGCGTCTTCATTCCTATATCACATGTCCGGCTTTCGCATATGACGGTTCCCATCGTTTTGCCAGGCACGAGAATCATATGAACTATGGCACAGCCGAAGCAAGAAGCTGGGGATTCTGGGGGCTACAGGCTGGCCTTCTCCAGAACGCCGCAACACAAAGAACCCAAGAGATCACAGCCTCAAGCAGCTGCCTTCGGGTGTGAACAATCCACATATTGGAGTATCCAGAACTGGGCAAACAAAAACAAATCCTGCAGTCTGAGAACATGCCTGCTTGAATTCAAGCGACCGTTTGGAACCCAGGGCAAAAACACAAAAGAGACACACACACACACACACACACACGCTAATCACCATACACTGCACACCTGCCGCGCCCGAAACGTGCCTTCTGGCAATTTGCCCGAACTATAAAACAATGGCATTTATTCGTCTTTGAATCAATCTGCTGCTGCCAGCGGCATCAGGGTTCTTGTAGCAGCGTGCGCAGTTCGAGAAACAGCGAGTACTCGTACCTGGAAATGTGGTTTGCGCAAACCTGGATCTTGTGATGCTGTTGTGCAACCCTAGTCAGGCATACAGCCCGGAAACAAGGGCGGAACCTCCCAACACAAAGGCGGAAATGCCCGGAACAAACCAGAAATTCCGGTAAACATGCGGAACATCCAGGAACTAAGGCAGAAACTGCCCGACACTCCCAGCCAGGCCAGCAACGGCCAATCAAACGGCGAACAACCAGTGTACGCATAAATGACACCATCAATGAATCACATGTTGGCCCTTGCGGTTGCTGCGTGTCAACATGACTCGCGTCATTACAGAGGAACGGGGTCTGCGAGAACACTTTCTGGGAACATAGGAGCCAAGTTTGATGTGTTTGCATAGTTGGTCGTTTCAGAAAGAAACACAGAGAGAGAGAGCGAGAGAGAGGGGGAGAGGGAGAGGGAGAGGGAGAGGGCGTGAGAGAAGAACGAAGCAGACCATCAAGCTGCAGGACGTTCAAGACATGCCGTGCAAGCTGCCATGTTGCCATATGTTTACCCCAAGTTTGCGGCTCGCCGGACCAAGAACGCAAACTAGCAGGTTCGTTGGACGCCTTGGTCGGTCGGGGAGAAGGACTGTGACTGAACAGCGCCACTTTATATGGCGTGACTTTTTTGCAGGTTGAACCACAGGCTTGGCTGTCCAGCCAGATGCACACGAAGAATGCTGAATTGACAGACTTCCCCGTGTTTCCGACTTACACAATGGAAATCAACAGCTTGGTGCCAGTACTTGGTTGCATCTCTTGGCCACGTGTGTAGTTCTGTTTCCACAAGGCAAGCGCGCGCGACCGAGGTTTGTGCCATCAATATGGTTGAATTGGAGATGCCAAGCCAGGCTTCGTATAGGACTTGATGCGGGAGCTTCCAACTGGGTCCCTCCCCGCAACATGGAGGTGTGCTTTTTGGGGAACCCCCTCCGTTTGTTTTGGTTGATTTTGAATCGACACCAAAGGGACACCACCCATTTTGCTCGTCCCACCGCGGAAGACTGCCCACTCGAAGATCCCTGCACGTCTCCAGATTTAAGAGGCTCACAGGACGAAGTTCCTTCCTGTCAGAAAAGACACCCGACCTATCCACCTGTTCCTGAGATGGCTGTTTGTGATGGCGGCGCGGACAGCTTTGCGAGACAGAGATCAAGGAGCCAGTTAGTGATTGCCTTTGTGTTTTGAAGGGCAGGGAACAAGTCTGTGCTTGAAATCAAGATTCGTTGCTCCAGGAACATGGCTCCTTGCGTCTGACAAGTTGCCCCTGTTCCGTGGGACTTGTTGCAGCTGTTGAACCCAGGTAAGGTTCGTGTTTGTGCTTTGTGTTTCTTTTGCTTCTGTTCTCCCTTCCCGTTGCCGTCGGTTTGAAGCTGTAAAGAGGATGCAGCAATTCCATTCGCCGGGTGCTTGAGCCACTGTCCAAATCACAGCTTCCCGCTTTAAGTGGTGTGTGTGAAGCACTATTCCAGGCCGTTGAATTGATTTGACTTGATTTGGTGGATTGCAATCCAAGTAAACCCCAGTTGTGGGATATGTTTTTGTGTGATGTTAAAGGTCGCCTTTCAGTGACTCTGGTTGCATTCAAGTCTAGCCTCCAATCATCCAATGCGAACATCGCACAAACAGGCAATCGGGCCAACAAGTGCATGGGGTGGTTGCGAATCCCAATGTTGCCTTGCTCTTCTGGGCCAACAATTTCCAAGCCAGTGATAAAGGGGCTCCTTGCAGATTTTAGGCCATGTTTGACGTTTGAGTGATTTCGGCAGGGGCTGTACAGGCTGTCGGGTGCATGGCCCGTTTCCTTCGCTCAGCTAGGGCTTCCTCCTAGAGGCGGTCTATTGGCCTGCGGCGGGGTTCGGGTGCGTCACAAGCACGCGTCAGAGGACGGCGATGCCTGCCTTTGGCTCTAGTCATGGCCGATCTTGCACAACCGCGCCTTCCAACCCCATCCCCCCGACCCCTCCCTGGTTTTCGTGTCAAGGAAAGAACATTCCTGGCTGGTTGAAATGCATATGTCGTGGGGAGCTGAGCCTACCAAAGCAAAGCCGTGCCGAAGTTCAAGACCGGCCATGGAGACTGCAATGGTCTCTTTGTCCAAAATCGTTCCGCCCCTCGAGATGAGTGTTGGCGCTGAGATGGTTTCGTGGTAGCATAGGAAGCAGGGGCCATAGCATTTTGGGATTTTGGGCAACAATCTGACCTCAGAACGGATGCATAGTCTATGTGACTGGCGCACCAAGCGCCAAATTCGCGCGCATCGCTCCTCGCACCCTGTTGCACGAGTCTTCACCTGTCCGTTCTTCGCCAGGGTCGATGGGAGGGAATGGCTTATTGCCATATTTCCATTCGCCATTGGACACATTGACAGGATCAGTTAAGTGTGTTCAGGTTTGTTGCAGGGCTGCCTTTGACTCTACAAGGCTTGGATCAATTTGACGTGAGTGGTCTTTGATTGGGTGCCAAGTTTAAAGGGATCAACCATAACTAGAAAGCGAATCTAATGCCAAGAATTCAGTCTGCACAACTTATGCAGGCTAAAGAGCCGAGGGTTAACACAAACAAGACCATCCATGTGGAGAGCAGTCGGTACATGGTTAAAGTCAACTCAGATAGAACCAAGGGGGAGGGTCGGCTGAGATTTGAGCACCCGACCCTCCAACTCCTTACCCAAGCCACTTGCCAAGCGACCAAGTAAGGGTAACTTTGTTCTGTCTTTGAGGGCCCGACACCAAACAACGCCCCGAAAAGAGTTGGGATCCTTAGGGTGCTATACAAACATACACCCTTTGTAGAACCAAACCAACCGTCGATTCTTTTGGGCGCTACATAAGTTAAGTCCAGGCGACAGGAGGGCTACCGAAGGAGCTTCAGTTTCAAGGCATTCCCTCGCGAGCGCTCGCGCTTCGTACGCTTCGATGCTTCGATGGCTTTGGCCGTGCCATCGAGAGGATGGCCTCGAGTTTTCCAATGCCTAGCCATGCGCGCCACGATCCAGAGATGATCTGCGCAGTTAGAAATGGGACAGACCTGAAAACCGAATGCCGTGCACGCGTCTAGCTGCATTCAAGGAGCCACCCTTTTTCCGACAACACACGGGAATGGGTTCTTCTCAAAAAGCCCTTTCCGACAAACGTGGAAGCGGGTTCCGGCAAGGCTTCCTGAACAAACCCTGCGATCAGCTTTCTCGATTGAATGCTCTAAGCACTGAGCTTCCGGATGCTCCAGGGAGTTGCTGCCGAAAACATGCGGGGACTTTCCGAAAGGTGACCGCTTGGAATCAAAGAACACTTGCTAGCCCCCGTTTAGAAAGCCGTTTCTGGACGATGGGCCACCGAGACCTGTTTTTTTGTTGAATCAACAGCCCCCGGGTTTAACTGGGTGAAACATGGAGCCGTGACCTGCTGTTTTTGCTCGCTGCTTGACTGCTCGGACTCTTCTCTCAGTTGTCTGTTTGGCTTCTCAGTGGTAGAGCTCCCAAGAGGGCTGCAAGGAATCCACGGATGTGCTGATAATCGGCCTGAAATAGTTTAGGAAACCGGTCACGGGTGAATATTTTTTGATTTTCGAGTGGGGACTTGAAACATCTATATTTCTGCCTTACCATTCAACAATGGGGTGAAGCCGTTGGTCAAGCCCGAGACGGATCTTCATATCCAGAGATCGGGTTGCGGAATGTTGCGGACACATCTTTCGGTTTTTTGTTTGGTTTCTTTGCAGAGCCAGGGTACACGGTAAAACCTACACAAGACGTTACATCCCGACCAAGAGGTTCCTTGAAACACTGGACCCCGGCCTTTCGGTGTGTCGCGAGCCATGGCGCAGGAGACAGCGGAAAGCCGAAAGTTCGAGAGGTTCTTTGGTCGAGGGAGTTGTTTTTGTTAGAAGTAGCCGGATCCCTACGTGGGATCCAGAAAGTGACTTCCCAGGTTGCCCCCAGGTATTTTGAGACAGAGCCTTTTGCACTTTGGCATTTGCACAGGAGAAGCGGCGACTGCTAGACCCAGAGATCTCTTACATGTTGGACTCCCGGTTGGGGTTGAGCAGGGTGTCTGCGAGCCTTGACATACTAATGAAACCATAAGGGTAGAAAGTTGGTTTGCTTTGCTTCGGCTTCTCTTTACCAGGGACCGATGTTGTACCCTTGCGGCAAGATCAGTGGAGCCCTGTGGAAACATCCGCGCTGGCCTTGTGTTCTGGTTCAGCCGCTCAAATCGGAAGCACACGGGCTGGTAGTGATGAACTTGTAAGCCAACAATGAGGAAGACGACAGAATTAGAGTCAAGAAGCCCGATGTTGTCCCTACTTTGTCCTTTCTGTTGGCTGAAAATCGTGAACCCCCAGAAAAAAAGCAAACCAAAAAAACAAATAGGAGACAAGAAGCAAACAGTCACATACGGGATTCCATTCGCTTCACATATATGCAGTTGGCTGGTTTCCCCTTGCAGATGACCAAAGTCGGAGTCTGGTGGGTGCTTTGTCCCAGAAGCAGCTCAAGTGCAAGAGAAGGCAGGCGGAGAGAAGCTTTCAAAAACACGGGCATCATCCAACAGAAGTTTCCCGGTTTTGAGCAACAGCTAAGTAGGATTAAGTAGGTGACATTAAACACGGACAGCAAACAGATACTGCGGGCAAAGGCGGGTAACTTGGCATTAACTTGGCCGGCTCGGCCGGTTCTGCTTGTTTTTGATCAAAAAGCTGGCCCCTGGATCCCTCTTCAAGCAACATTTAGACCTCATTTGTTGGACCTAGCCTAGATTGAGTTTTCTCTGGTGATGCACCAGGCGGATCAGGGCATATCAGGGCGGGGTTTCAGCGACAATCATGTGGGGTACTGGTGTAGGCTCCAAGCGCACAAGGGCGAGCCTCCCATGCAGGCTTACATGCACGGCTCTGATTTGAAATGCCTAAGGCCGGTCGCTTTGAGCGATGGCGACTCCCCCACGTGCGCGGATCGAGCGGATCCGAGCGGATTCGAAGCCAGTTGAGTGGATGTATCAAACACGACCTCTATTTGAGAAGCAACCCCCTGAGTGTTTTACGGGTAAACATGAGGTTTTGCAGGATTCCCCCCAAAAAGCACCACCACTCAGCGACTCGGAGCGTTGGAGTTTGTGTATCTGTTTTGCGGTCAGTACGAAGTAGACTTGATTGCTTTGTGTTTGGACCTCGAACCCGGTTGTTGCTCAACTTGCAATATCGACTGTATTCACTATTCACAGGGTCAAAAGTCAAGAATCCGTTCCGAAAGGAAGGATCCCCTCTTTACACCCAGTTGAAGCAGTTTCTCGTTTGTAGAAATGGGTTGCTCTCTTGCTGCCACATGTTGATCCAAGAATCCCCTGGTTGGACTTGGATTTCACAGGTTTCGTTTCGGGAAGGTATGAATATGTTTTCTATTGGCGCATTGGTTCAAAGGGAAGCCGCCAGGAAGCCAAGCATGAGCGCGGTTGCTGTCCAGGTCTTGAGTTCTCCCAGTTCGCTTGTGCAGGTACAAGAGGCGAAGGGGCGGCTTGCAGGCCGACTCAGCCAGTTTGCAGCATGCAAGCTGGCGGCTCTGTTTGCCTTTCGACTTTTGGGGCATTTAAGGAACTGCCCCAAAAAGTGGACCTCCAGAATGGATCTCTTTTTTTTGGCCCCAAGGCAAAAGGGGTTGTGGACCCTTTTCGTCAAAGCCCGGCGGCTTCTACTTTGCCCCGTTTGAAGCCTATAGAGTACATGGTGTCATGACTTGGCCCCCGAAAAGGGAAAACCAGCTGGGTTCCCTTTTTGTCCGTGTTGTTTGTTCCTCATAAATATATATATATATATATATATATATATAAATTAAACAAGAAACACGGCCTCACAATGAACGGATCGATCAGGTCCTGGTCGAAGCGCCAGCGTTCCAGTCGCTGATAGGCAGGATGGATGGGGGGTCACTTTCAGCCCACAGTCGATTGAGTGTGTCAGATGTTTATCCTGTTTTTTTGTTTGTTTGTTTGTTTGTTTGTTTGTTTGTTTGTTTTCTCGCTGTTTTCACGGGAAACCAACGGGAAACCACAACTTTGACGATGCCACTTTTGCAGAAACCAACAAACAACAGTTCCAGGAGTCAATTGATCATAGGCGAACATGACTGACTGGTCAAGTGCCAAAGTCAGAACGGGACAAACTCCCTATATCAGCTCTTTCATTTGTTTGTGTGTGTGTGTTTTTGGGGGGGTGGCCCTGTTCTGACTACGCAAATGGATAATTTGACCCTCAGGGCTGATCATCCTGTCAAATGCCCTGGTCATTGGCTTGGAGACTGATGAGATCACCCACGACTGGTCGCCAGCTCGGTGTTTGGCGATGTCGCGTCCACCATGTCCTCCGGGTGGTGTCCTTTCAGAATCAAGGGAAGTCACCAGAGAGGTTGGACTTTTTGTTTTTCTTGGTCGGTTCCCCAAGGAAGATGGACTCGGCTTCCTTGCCTACTAAACAAGACCAGTCTTGGAAGCTTCAAGATGTTTCGGAGAATAAGAGATTCCCCTGCAAGACACAATGTTGATTGCTCGTGGACGCGAGAGTGCCTGACTAAGGCTTTATCCGATGCTTGAGGACAGCTTGCACCAGCACAGCTGAGTCAACTTATATTGAACGTTTCTCCATGCTGTCGTGAATAAGAGGATCTAGACTTGTCCCAGCACTTGAAGGGGTGCGAGCTCCCGACATACGCCATTTTGCCGCACCTTGGGGATTGTCTGAAAGCCAATGCTTGCAGGACATCTTTCTTTGCTTGTTCGCCCTGGAGATTCTGCTGAGGCCCGCCGCGTTGGTTTTAGTTTTTGAGCGACCTGGGACCTGAACGCCACTCCACGGGGAATTGTCCAATCCGAACCTTGATTGGTTCTTGGGATACTGGCGAGGTTGCTCAACCAGAATGTCATGTAGGTGTTGAACCCACATTTGCCACATGCATGTCAATCTTGCCGCTTTTCAAGGTTCTGCTGTGAAATGGGTGTGGATAAACTTAAAGCTTCGGCCACGCAAAGTGGACGGTTTTGGCTTTCCTGCTGTAGGAAGGGGCAGAGTTCTTTCCTGTCAAGGCAGACTCAAATTGGTTCACTGAAGAAATGACTACAATCGCAGCAACAGAAATGAGACGGACACACGCCGGGTTGCGGCGGTCGGACATGGATGAGCACTCAGGCAAACATTTTGTTGTTGTACTGGGGTCATTATGTTGACGGTTTCTGGGAGTTATCAAAGTCAAAAAATGGGGTTGTTTCCCTTTAACCCGCCACTTAGGGGCTGACTTTGATCAGGGTAAATAGCGAGGCCAGTTGTGTTCTGCGAATGATTTCCCAGGAGATATGCCAATCTTCACTAGAGGTGCCTTAACCACCCGAAAGGTTTTCTCTGCCAGACGGATGTCGTTTGTCAGAAGTCTGAAGCTTTTTCTTGGAGCCATGTTCAGGCCAGGCGGGCCAACATGCAACCAACGCGGGTCTGAAACGGGGCCGAACTTATGTCTTACAAGACATAATTAAGAAGCAGCAATCAGAGAACGACAAAGCACATGTACAAACAGAGACAAGCACAACACCACGCACACGCGAAAACACACAGACACAGACACAGACAGACACAGACACAGACACAGACACAGACACAGACACAGACACAGACACAGACACAGACACAGACACACACACACAGACAGACAGACAGACACACACACACACACACACAGAGACACGCACACGCGCACACACACACACGCACACGCACACGCACACGCACACGCACACGCACATGCACACGCACATGCACACGCACACGCACACGCACACGCACACGCACACGCACACGCACACGCACACGCACACGCACACGCACACGCACACGCACACGCACACGCACACGCACACGCACACGCACACGCACACGCACACGCACACGCACACGCACACGCACACGCACACGCACACGCACACGCACACGCACACGCACACGCACACGCACACGCACACGCACACGCACACGCACACGCGCACGCGCACGCGCACGCCACACGCCACACGCCACACGCCACACGCCACACACCACACACCACACACCACACACCACACACCACACACCACACACCACACACCACACACCACACACCACACACCACACACCACACACACAAACGAACACAGAAACAATCACAAACATGCCGGCGGACCGGTAACCGTGCCCGCGAAAGTGCATTTTTGAAAACGTCCGCGTGGCAGGCGTGGGATTTCCTTCGATTTCCTAAACATGGTACACGCTCTACACATTTTTTATTTCTTGTATCATGACCATTCTACAACAGCTGCAAGAGGTGTAAAAGAACATCATGCACAACATTTGGAAGGAGTTGCAAGAGCAACCGTCATGCTATCAACACACACACCACAAGACCCGCCAGAGGGTGAGTTAGAACGACATCAGAACAACCGCACCAGGATTTCAAGGACAGCTGCACCGCCTTTTCTTGACCTTCCCCGAAGTAGCCCTGCATGTAGCGCTAGCTTGGAATACGGCAAAGGAGATCTGGATTCTATGATGCAGGTTTGCTGAGCAAAAGCCACTGCTCAAACACAACCCTGACTTCCCCAAAATGTTGGATTAGCAAAAGGAACCCAGCCCAAAAATAATTGCCAAACACTAATGAGGATCCTGGTATAAAGAATCAATCTCGGAGGCTGAGCACGTGAAGAAAGCCTTCACATTTTTGTGTGGGCAGCCATGGCCCGAAATTCGAAGCAGCAGGACATGTGTAAGTGGAAGGACAATCGCTTCTACATGGGCCATAGTGTCTCGCATGCGACAACATTGTGTGTTCTGCGCGTGCGTGTGCGTGTGCGTGTGTGCATGCGCGCTGCGCGCGTGCGTGCGTGCGCGCGCGCGCGCGTGCGTGCGTGCGTGCGTCTGCGCGCACGCCCGAACTCACAGGGTGTATGAAAACCATCCCTCCCCCCCCGGCTGACGAACGGATAACCATGCCACATGGAATCAAAACAAGCATGTCCCAAAAAAACGGTTTTGCGGGCACGGTTAACGGTCCGTCAGCACAAACATGGACATTCACACACACAGACACAAAACACACACACACACAAACCAGCCAGCAAGCCGAACAAGTGACAAAGTAAGAACCAAGCCGAGGAACCCGGCCTGTGAGGCTTTGTGCCTATGGCTTCAGCGGGTTCTTCAGCACAGAGAGCTCTGCCGGGGCGTCAGATGCGACGGCTTGGCAGTGGTGCTTAGGGGTATTGGGGGCCAGCTTGGTCTTAATTTGGGCTTGGTTTGGGTCGCGCTGTGGGTTTCCCAAGGCGCTGGCTGGTTAGGATGGGGTTGGTTTGCTGGCCCATCAGCTGTCTTGATCAGTTGGGCAGTCAACTGTATGGAGTGTCAGCGGTTGGCTTCGGTTCGGTTTGGCTCGAGTTGGATTTTGCCTGTGGCTCTTTGAGCACCAGTCGTTTTTGAGGGGTCTGTCAGGTTCTCTGTTGGCAGCCAGGGGCCGTTCCTGCGAGAAACACAGTTCTTCAAGCCATTGTTTCTGGAGACCCTTGAAAGTTGATAAAATAGGTGACCTAACAAGGTGTGATTTTCCCCTTGGTGTTCCGAGAAATTTGTGTTCCTTTACACCAAGTTGCCAAAAGGGAACCTCCAATACAAAGAGAACCTTGTGATGCCGCACCAGAGGGGTGGCTTCGAGCCAGGATTTCACGTGGAATGTCTTTGACTTTGTTTTGGTCTTCCTTGGTGCGCGGGCCTGAGCGACGTTGATCACCAGGGGCAGCAGGCAGAGAGATGGAGTGTGGAGTGGCGCTGGCCCACAGAAAGCATGTTGGCTCTCAATCATTGGCTCATGATTAAGACATCAACTATGTCTTTGGTGCATTTTGCTTGGATGTTAGGACTTGAACTTTTTCCCATTAAACCACTAAAAGTTAAACGTTTAGCAGGGGAGCAGAAAGCAACCGAGATGTGTAGCTTCGTGGGTTTATCATCTTTTGCGCTTTGGTTGGTACCGACTTCTTCGGGTTGTTATCTGGGTCTTGGGGATGCTCCGCGCGAACATCAATGTGCTTCCGTCTCGTAGCGCCAGTTGCCAGGTGTTCGACCGGGGGCTTTCTTTGCTACACAGACTAGCAACAGGAGCGACGACATGTGGAAGACTTTTCTGAAATGATCAGAAATTGAATCAGAAACCCCAGAAGCGCTCGAATCAACGCAGAGAGAAACGACTGAATTTCAGAGGTTCGAAGTGGATTTCAATCAAGTCGAAGATTGCGGCGACTTCTACCCTTCGAAGTGCACGTGTGTGTGTGTGTGTGACACGTGTGGCTTCTTAGTCTCTTTGTGCGTGCTTCTGTGCACTGTTGTTTGGATTTCTTTGAGTCATGTATTTTACCGAAACACCCATTTCTTTCGATTTAGTCGGATCCATCACGCGGTCGGCCAGATCATTTCCGCGGGAGGACCGACGCTCTACCTTGTGCTGATGAGAGTCTTTAGGCGCGAGCGAGTTTTGCCATTCAGTTGCCTACATTTGGTGTTGACTCGTTGCACATGGATGGACCCCGCACATAGACATCCACGGAAGACATCATGAGGTGGCATGATCTCGAAGCGCAAGCAGACGCTTTGCAGGCTTCTGCGTATTCTGCGGATTTTCCGGATTTTTCGCGTGATGCGACAGTGCTGGCCTCAACTGAAGGGAGGCACATGCATTTAGCCAGGATCTGTATGGAGTGTTGTTTTTCTCCGCCTGGCCCAAGAAATATGGAGACCGGCGGGAAATAGCGGCTGAGTGAGGGGAGGGTCCAGATGTGTCTGCATTGACGTCAGGTTGCACATTCTTGCTTCCGGAATGTTCGACGCCATTCAGTCCGTTTTTTGGGCCGCGGCCTTAGTGCTCAACAAGTTCGCTAGCGGGTTCCCTTGGAAGCTCAACCGCCGGGATTTCGGCTACCCGAGTTTCAAACACACGGCCCCTTTTTTTCTCCGCGCATCCGAGGTCAGCGTAATCTGCGCTTTGATCCTGTACATTTGTGGGATCGTGCTGACCAGGTGGGGCAGCGACCTGCGCTCGGTTCCATCTCAGTGGCTTCAGCTTGCAGACGCGCCCAGACGCGGAGTGAGCAGCGCAAGGTTGCCTTGGTCTCGGTTTTGGATGGTGCCCTATTGGTTGTCAGGTTGGTGGGCTTCCCTGTTGCGTAGTCCCCTATCGGATGCTGTTTGGTGATAACTCTGTTGGACATTTATGTACTTGGTGGTTCCCGGCCATCCCCTTATGTTTTTTAGCACCCCCAAAAACGGAAAGCCGCGATTTCCACCGAATCCGCGAAAGTTCCACCGACAGCCCGGCTTAATGTCATCTCGAAATCAAACTAAATCGAAGACGGGAGCCTTGTTCGATTTGCCTGTGGCAACTTTCCGGTGCCGTTTGTTAATGGCCCCAATTGCTCCAACTCTGAATCCTTGGTCGGGGCTTGTCCTCATTTCCGTAGCCTTCCGCCTCTCCCAGCATGCCGCGTTGTTGGGGTCTCACGTCGTGGGATACAGGGGTTGGTCGGATATGACGTGAGGCGGGGTACCTTGAAGAGCTGTGCCAGGGGTAGCTCAGGCAGGTTTCTTGTTGTTTCATGCAGAAATGGGTCTCCTCATTTGCTGTTGGTCATGAAACTGCGATTTATACGGCTCCCGTGCAATCAACGGGCCGGCAGTTTGCCCAACTAGCTTCGGAGCATCATTTGATTCAGGAAAGACAAAGAGGCTGCACTGGGCAAGGGACATGATGCCTGAGCTGCCAGGCTTGTGGGTCATCCTGAGGAGGGTGATCCCCTCGCAGCTCGGCTGATCACTTCTTCAAGCTTGGGATCTGTCCTCTCAGTGGCGGATTGACTTTAGTCTATCAACTTGTCTAGCGAGAACTCTTTGGACGAGTGCAGTTAGTCGCATTCATCCGACGTGCAGCTTCTGTTTAGCCTTTCGTGCTTAAAGATAGATCGGGCGACTGGAAGAACGGACCGCCCAAATAACACTGCAAGCCCTGCAATCGCTTGTGATGCCACTTGTACCCTTGAATGCGTATCATGGTACACAGACTTGGTTCAGGACAAGTAAGGCTGGTCATGAACCCCAGAAAGCGAGATCTGCTTCAGCGAGCGAAAGTTTGAAGGGCGCCCTTGTCAGATTAGCTTCATCGTTGAAACCATGACTTGCTGGTATTTACCGAACACCAAAACAAAGTTTCTTTAAGTGGTGCAAGATTTCAGGAAGAACACCATTTGGAGCGTTCCCATGTTCAACCCGACCCAAAAAGATGTTGGCTATGGCTGTGAATGCCTGTTTGCAATATGGAGTGGCGTGCAGGGCTCAGAGTCAAGCAATAGCCAAGGGGTGTGTTCATGCCCTATGCGTTGCAGGGATACACATGCGCATCCTACATAACACATATGGCTGTGGGTGAAAACCCTGTACCCCTGGTGAACATCAAAATAGGTGGTACATGGGTGTTCATCCGCCCAAAATGGAGGCATAGGTTATGACCCAGGGCCATATATGTCATGTAGATAGGATACGCATGTGTACTTTTATTATTTTATGAGCTCACCCTGCGGTAGAACAAGCTCTCGCGGGATGAGTAATGCTTACTAGGATCCCTTCTCGTTTCCAGTTGGGGCATTTTAGTGGTTTGTTCAAGTATACATGTATACATGCCCGTACCTCGAGTGAACGGCGACCGTCCGTTTGATTTGAGTTTCCACCTCCCCCCTGTGTGGTCAACGCGTGGACAGGACATTTGCCCAAATCAAGCTGTTTCTGGTTGAGGCACTGGTCAAGAAGGAGTACTTTGGCCCCTGCCTCAGCAATCGATGCAGGCGTTTCCTAGCAAAACCTGGGTGGATGGGTCTGGAGATGTGAAGATCCACTACTCGGACTCCGCCTTTTTTGGGAAATCAGTCCGGCGAGTCTGACATCGCAATGTCACAATTTGCCAGGAGTTCAATACATTAACAGTCCCGACGCAATATCTGGAAAATTGGTTTTGATTTGGAACCCATGTTGGATTGGTTGTGCGACTAATGGTCTTTTCTGGCTTGAATCAGGGGATCTGATTCCCCTATGTAGTAGGCAACCAAGAAAAACAATTGTAACGTCCCGTTTACCGCATATAGCGGGAGCTGGATAAGTTTGAAAATAAATGGTGCAATTTCCTTGCATGTGGGTAAATAGGACACTTAAAGCAACATGGGGGAATCGTGGCAATTGCTTTCACCCAACTGTAAACATCCATTTCCCGTGGCTGGAGCAGGAGGGTTTCAGAGAGCCAGAGGGAATCATCATATTTCATGATCTCCGGAGGGAGCTTGGAGGGCCTGGGGGCTTCTCCTTGGCTCCTGGAAAAGCCCCGTCCCCCATAGCCCTTGGCGATGGACTTTTTGGAGTCCCGTACCAATTGCGGAGTCCAAACAAGAATTGCCAAGGGGATTCCTCCATGTGGATGGACGAAATCCAATTCGCACCACAAAAGAAACCCTAGAATGATTCGATTCCCCTGTGAATACCAACAAGAAATGGTTTCCCATGGTTTCCAAGTGGTGCAGGATTTTGTCCATCCACAGTATCAACGGTTTTGTGGGTTTCATGATTCAGAGCTCAGGGTAGGTGCCATTCCCCCTATCCCCTTCTTCACTTAGCCATCCGGTTCCTCTTATTTGTTTAGCTTCTGAAGTTGGTTTAGTGGTAGTTTCATTTGAGCCACTAAAAGTTGTCGACGTTTAGCAGGGGATCCGACAACGGACAGCCCTGGAAAGGAATTGGGTACCCAAAATGGAACCCTGGTAGATGGAAACACGGACTAAAGTCCGCGGTCCAATTCCTGGTGTTTTTTTTACCCATACCCACAAAACGGAATCGTCGCATCTACTATTCCTCGGTTTGTGTTGCTGTCCTTTGCCAGGCTCCTTGTCTGCTTCCATGCAGACCTTATTCGAGCTCATGGCCTTCCCAAACCTGGCGCCTCGCTTTGGGTTGGGAGGGTCCCGACGTGTGGGAAAGTTCCCTCATTTGATGTGTGTTAAGTGAAGCCAGAAGGAGTGAGGGAAGCAGAAGGATTTCGTGTCTGGTCATATTGGAGCCCAGGTTTGTGCTAAGCAAGGGGGCAAGCTGACCACACTGTTTGGCCTTGCATTGAGGGCTAGCAAATTGATCCTGCACATTTAATTCGTGGTTTTGTTCACTGACAAGGTAGAACATGAGCTGACCTGGTCACCCTGATGAAGGATTATTTCATGAGAGTTCGCGTTTCCAGATTTTGGCATCATGCTGCATGTTGCCGATTTATCAGGTTAGATGGGCGAGGTCAATGGCATTTGTCAACGGACCCTTAACTCGTGCAAGCACGCCTGTGCGTAGCTGTGACAACATGTACTGCTTCCCTCGTCTGGGGGGGCAGTTCCTTGACTTGGGCTCAGAGAGAAGTCGTGGTTTGGGTTCCTTGGGATTTCTTTTTGGGCCAGGGTGCCTGTGGTGCAAGAGCCGTCTAACCTTCTAGGGGTTGGTTCCAATTCCATTCTTTTCAGCCATCGTTCTTTCAAGCACCAGCTCTTTTCTCGGGTTTCCGGAGGTTTAGAAAGAAGGATCCCTGGAAAGAATGGAAATGGAAGGTAGCCCTCGAAACCTTGTTCTCCCTTCCTTGGGGGATTCCATCGGCGACCTGAGTTTGGCTGTCGCTCCGAGGAAAGGTTTCAGCCCGCCCGGGCCTGAGCGACAGGAGATTGCTGTGGCAAGGCCATCGCACAAACCAAGCCCTGCCATTCGGCAAATGTCAAAAGTGAATACGCGCGTTGCAGGGAAACAGACAACATCAAGTCTTTGGGTATCGGTTCTGCTGATTGGCCTCAATACTTTGGCAGCGCCTAAACAGGGCACGAAAGCGAAGCATACCCCTCGCAATCTACTTCGAGTCATAGCCGCTCACAACACGGACGCTTCAAGCTTGGGATACTTGGGCCCGAGCAAGTAACAGCTATGCTTTCCTGCTAGAAGGTCTCTGAAGCTGGTTTGGGATCCGGTGTAATTATAATGACACATTCTCAATCACAAATGCCGACAAACCGCGTGCTTGCTCCTTTTCGCCCGGCTGGAACCTTTTTGACTCACCACTTGAGTTCCTGCCTTTCTCCGACGTGTTTCGGCTTTTACCCTCTGAAACCTGGTCTTAAGATTCCAGGTAGTGCGACTTGTCCCGCCTGGACGTTCAGGTCTTCGACGACAACCCCTCACTGAAGGCCTTCCTGGTAATTTTCGTGATTTTCGGCGCCTTCATGATGGTGGGGCGCCCAATCCGACTAGCAAGAGTCATGGAGGGTTGATATCTCTACGGGTTGGGGGGAAGGCATCCCTCCCCAGGTCATTTTCCGCTTGTGGGTACTAAGAAACAAGAAACTCATATTTGTCTAGAGGAGGCCACGTGTTTGGAGCTATTTGGGATCCC